AGCATCAGATCTAGGTCAGCTGGCATTGAACATTCCGAAAGACCTAACAGTACTTCCCTTATGATGGTGGTTATGCAACTTGTATTTTGTACATAGCTATCACTCAATGTAAGTATATCCTAAGAGAACAAGAAAGGATTCTTCTGAAATAGAATGAACACACCTGATCCTCAAAAGCCCTCTGGGTTCTGAGTCCATAAGCTGGACTCTGATCAGTGAAAATGAAGAAGGAACAGAAAACATGCCTGGCTCACACAGTTCAAAGAACTGGAATTAATTGAACACCTATTCTTCCTTAAAGTGATTAAGGGTCATTAGTCAAGAGGAGCAAGCTCATGTCAATTTGAGGAACAATTGTGGGACCACCATAAAGAAGTTTAAAGCTACCTTAGCAGCCTGCAAGGTAAACACCTAAGTAGTTACAGCCTTAGCTCTAAAAAAAAAAACAAGTCACCCACATTGTATATGACATCATCTTAACAGACTGCAGAGACCACATGAGCCTGAATACAAGAAAATTCTGTCCAGCTAAAACCTAGCAAGATCTGAAAGTGCAATTCAGGCTTGCTTGATTATGCAGACTATCCTAATCCTTCAGCATACGCCACAACGAACAAGGTATACATTTCAGTAGCTCAGTGTTGTCAAAAGAAATGTTCTGAAAACCCAGTGTGAGTCATCTCATTTCAGAATGGTTTAGGAAAGAAAGCAGAAAAATGTTTGGGTGAGGCCTAACTGTAATTATGTATTACAGACTGCTCTACATAGGTATGCGTACCCATTTTTTTTAATCTGAAAAACTCCCCCAGAAGCTATCATGGAAGTGCTGAAAGCTCAAAGCAGTAGATTTATCTGTCTTGTCAGCATCATGCTTAACTTGCAAAGAGGAAGAAATTTCCAGACTGTTACAGAAAAGGCTATTCCCACTTTCAGGAAGCTTGTTGCTTCCTGCTTAAATGTTTGATTCCAGAACAAGATATTTGTAGATACTTCTATCAGTTACTCTTTTACTTAGCCAGACAACTTTATACAGCGTTGTAAGGAACACGACTGCATACACCCACATATACAGCAAACTACCATCCAGCTGTGGCAGCGACCACCAAAAAGACCACCTTGTTGCAACTTCTTTACGTATTTGCGGTAAGCTTCAGTACTCACGCAGGTTACTCAAGCAGTGACACCTATATCGTTGCATTTACACTGTGACTCTATCAGCTAGAGCGTCGCAGGCATCTGCAAACACTGCAGTGACACCATGAAATGCAGGATACTAACGAACAATGCCAGTGACTTCCAAACCAGCAGAAGATTGGACTTGATGCCACCTTCACTCCTGAGGAGGAATGCTCTCTACCACATAAATACACACGTAGAAAGGAAGACTTTTCTGTCATCTTAAATTGGACACTAGAAATCGGAAACAGTGGCATTTATATCAACAAAACTGTACGCCCTCTATCTTTCAGTAAACCAGTAAAACAGTTACCATTAAGCAAGCTACAATCCTTGAGTCTTTCAGTCATCCTTACATTCACTAAGCAGACCCCTACAACTTTGTATAGGACAGTTTGTTGAAGCTTGATTTAACAGATTATGCTTTACAGTATAAAGCGGTGTAACTAGCAAATTTATTGACAGTTTTGACACAAGCCAAAATAATACATTTATGACCTCTGAAAAAAGAACAGCTCTTACAATTATCTGCATTGTGTACACAAAAGTCTAAGCAAAACAAGGGAGGGTAAAACAGAAGCATAATCTTAGAGGTTTCTTTACCCAGCATCAATATGCTGAGAAACTCCCAGTCCCACTTATCAAAAACCTCTACACACAAGGCTACATTTCTCACTTTATCTTGACATACTCTGTATAAACTAATAACCTTGCACGAAATCTGCCTTAATAAAAGAGAGATAGATTACAAGAGGAATTCTTGTGTGTTATGGTTATACTTTGCTCTGATTGCAAAATCATTTGTCAGCATGAGACTTGAGAAAGCTTTCTGCTAACCAATCCCATGCAAATATCCATTTTACATTCGTGACTGGAATACTCAAGCTGCTCCCTTATTTTCACATTACAGCCATTTACTACACACTTACTGAAGAAACAATCCCTAAAACAGGTTCTTAAACACATTCACTCATTCCCTATATTCCTAGTACAATGAGTAATTTCAACAACTTTGAGTTACAAAGAAACCACCCTTATGGCTGCAGCCCAGGAAATCAAATTTGCTTCAAACTGGGCAAATATTCAGATGAAGTAATGACTACATGGTTTTTTGCCTTATGATTTTAGACAGCTACTATAGGGATAAGTAGTGTTTCGGTCTGACCTGGTAAGCTGTTCTTATGGAAGACTAACAGTTTCAGAAGTACTTATTCCAGAATTAAGCACTATTCTTCTCAGAAGTTAAATATGAGCACCTGTAAAACTAATCAGCAAGGCCTTTACAGTTTATATATGTAACATTTGTGCTGTGCACAAGAGGAAACTTTTTTCAAGATCAGAGGTGTATATATTAGCATGTATGAAATTCATGTACAATTGCATTTATTTATAAGTATGCCTATGAAGTTTAGGGAAGAAGTTTTCAACTCACTTATTTCACTAGCAACATGGTCCAGTTTTTCTTTTGACCTACTGATTAGAGCCACTTTCATTCCACGTCTTGCTAACTGCAACAAAACAGAACAGGAGACATAAGAACAGTCATAAATTGATTCAAAGTTCGTATCCTAATTAAAGAAATTGCATCATTTGTCACAACATCACAACAATATATGACCAACAAGTTTGAAAAAAATTAGTTTTAATAGAGACATTAAGGGAAAACCAAGACAAAATACTTCCATGCTACTACTTCTTGATTCCCTTCTCACCAAAGTCATTATCTTCTCAACCATCCAAAGCAGATGTATTGGTACATTTATAAAAAAGAAAACCAACAGCAGATATTTTATAGAATTTTCACAACAGCTCTGCAAGACAGAGCAAAGATGTTATTACCTGTAATTGAGCTTAACATGCAAATTAATAAATCCACGGTCACTTGAATACCTGTGGTGCAAAACTACTCCATCACTCAATACCTCCTTCCTTTAGTCAGGCTCTACTCTTACTTTGTTCTAATTACAGGTATAAAGGTTCATTTACTCATGCAGTTCTTTTAGGGAAGCTATCTGTGTAACTTAAGCTGTGGCCAGAGCATATCCCAGTCATCAAATCAGACTTATTGCTCCAAGTTTGAAATGTGATCTAACAACGCAATTTAAAAGTGTCTGCAGAAAGACAGCTACACATCTGAATTACTCTGCAATGAAAACAACGTTGGTGACTATTACCCTCTTCCAGTAAAAACTAAAAACAATATATCCAATTCATAGCGACACTGCCTTTCAGACACTTAACACCTACATATAAAAAACAGGTAAGTTCTCATTGCTCCAATAAAACTCCTTCACTGCCTTAGGAAGCAGATGAGAATAAGTCTTCAAGGAAATCTAAAAAAACCCCCAAAAAGCACAAAACAAAAAAAACCCCAACAAAACAAAACAAAACTAACACCAGAGCATAGTAGTACAGCAACAACCTAAAGTGACAATCTCATCTTCCTTTCTAGCAAAAGCATGCGAATCAAGAAGCTTCTTTCAAAGAGAAATATGACAAAGTTTGAAGAACACTGTACTTCATATCACAGACTGGTTTGGGTTGGAAAGGACCTTAAAGACCATCCAGTCCCACCCCTCTGCCATGGGCAGGGACACCTTCCACTAGCCCAGGTTGCCCAAAGCCCCGTCCAACCTGGCCTTGAACCCTTCCAGGGAGGGGGCAGCCACAGCTTCTCTGGGCAACCTGTGCCAGGGCCTCACCACCCTCACAGGGAAGAATTCCTTCCTTATCTCATCCTATCCCTTCACTCCCTGATCAAGAGTCCCTCCCTATCTTTCCTGTAGCCCCTTTAAGCAGGGGGCTATAAGGTCTCCATGGACCCTTCTCTTCTCCAGCTGAACACCCCCAACTCTCTCAGCCTGTCCTCACAGGGGGGTGCTCCAGCCCCCCGAGCATCTTTTGTGGCCTCCTCTGGCCCCACTTGAGTAGGTCCGTGTCCTTCTGATGTTGGTGCCCCCAGAGCTAGACACAGCACTGCAGGGGGGTCACAGGAGAGCAGAGTAGAGGGGGAGAATCCCCTTCCTCGACCTGCTGCCCACACTGCTCTGGGTGCAGCCCAGCACACGGGTGGCTTTCTGGGCTATGAGCACACATTGCTGGCTCACAGTCAGTTTTCCATCCACTAATATCCCCAAGTTCTTCTCCTTGGGGCTGCTCTCAATCCACTCATGGCCCAGCCTGTGTTTGTGCTTGGGATTGCCCCAACTCATGTGCAGGACCTTGCACTTGGCCTTGTTGAACTTCATGAGGTTCGCACGGTCCCACCTCTTCAGCCTGTCCAGATCTTTCTGGATGGCACATCCCTTCCCTCCAGTGTGTCAGTGATGATTCTGTGATTCTAAGTATCTCAGCCTCTGACACCAAGGACAATCTGACAGTAATCTAGTCAGCCTGAAACAGGGACAAAAAAGCCCCAGAGATGTTCTTCATAGGTGCAAGCTCTAGACTGTTGACTGCTGAAAGAAAGCAAACTGCATGTCATAATCTCTGGGCTCTCAGATTGCTTAAGCAGGTACCCGAGTTTTATGGAAAAGTATCCAGCTGTACTTGTGTCAAAAGTCGAGGGAGAAAAGCCATGCCAATGCATTCAGTGGAACCTCAGCACATTTAGAGAACTTTCACCGCAAGAGCAAGCTTGAGAAAAACTGCTGCTATGTTCACACTAAAGGGACACACTCCAAGAAGCGCATCTGAGATCTGGAAATGGAAACCCATTTGCAAGAGGAGTTCTCTGAGCACAGAGCATATAAAATGGACAAGAAAAGAGCCTGTAACTAGGAACAAATACCACTAAGAAAAGTAATCAAACTTGGAAAAGATACAGAGCTCAACAGCAAGTTCAGTTTGAGTCTGATGCAACCAGATCAGTTTCTGCTGAGAGCTTTGACTTCACTGGTAAAGGTCAAGTGGGTTGAAAGGAACCAACCACAACAGTCTAAAGAGCAATAATGATCCTCTGAGATGTCAGTAACTAATCACATTTTTATGTAACAAGGAATACCTGCGTGCTTTGTAGATAACCTGCCATTATACTTGGATCTCTGGCCAGTGTCCCTAGGTCCTGTAAAGGTTTAACAAGATCATCTTAAAACTGATCACAGAAACTCACCCAGAGTAGGGAACACTGGGAAGATGCTCTTGTAGCTTAAGGACTGATGCAACCAAGAGTCACCATTCTAATGGAGTTGGTGGATGTACTTGACTTTCTGGGCTGCGAGCGCACATTGCTGGCCATAATCAGTTTTCCATCCACTCATACCCCCAAGCCCTCCTCATTGGGGCTGCTCTCAATCCACTCGTCACCCAGCCTATGATTGTACTTGGAATTGCCGCGACCCATGGGCAGGACCTTGCACTTGGCCTTGTTGAACTTCATGATGTTCATGAAGTGAGGTGTCTGATTTCCTTAAATGCCATGTTAGTAACTACCACATTATCCACTTCGGTAACAAACCACAGCTGCTGTTAAAGCCCTTTCTCTCCAGAATTGAAAGGAATGTCATGAACGGCCCATCAAAGCAGAGTTAAAGTTCTTGTTAGAGTAGGTATTGCAAGAAGATCTAAAAAAACAACACTAAGCAGATGTGCATAGCAGAGTACTGCATAGTACACAATGGGATCACAACCTTTAGTTTATCACTAGCACACAAGTACATCTAAGATTAAATTTAAACTCATGATTTGCAAAAACAAGCAGCAGACAGCAAGAGAGGGACGACAAATAGTGACTCCTGACCATATCCTTAAAAAAAGTAAAAAGAAAAAGGTGTGCTGCTTGGGAATCAAACAGTGGGCAAGCACTACCTGGATAGAGAAGAAAACTTGCGTTTACTGTGGCACTACTTTTCATGAAGGGATGGTCTAGCGACAAAAAGGATATCAGTGCTGAGCAAAGAATAATAATGCAAGAACGAAAAGCATAAAAATGGCTCTTTGCTTGGAAAAGAAGTAACCAACAGAGCAGAGTATAACCAAAGAATTCACAAACTCGTAACATTCTTCCATCACTTAGTGGTGACCACGTCAAACTTTCGTAGAGGCGGAAACATGCTGTTTCATTTCTCAAACTCCTCCAAGGAGAAGGAAATCACCTGCATGATTGTAATCACAGCCATCAGTGCCCAAGCAGCTGTATGTCAGTGGCATTTGTAGTAACCTGAAGGGAATTTCTAGTAGAAAGTTATGAAGACATCTCTAGAGTTAACTGAAAGATTGAGAAGTTTTTTTCACATATTCCACAGTTCACCCTGCATCCACACTTGACTTCATCAAGTATTCTTCATCCACCTAAACTGTCAAAGGGTGGATTTGTGCTTTATTCTAAACAAATAAGTAAGTAACAATAATAAATACAACTCATGAAAAATATCTTTTATTCTATAGCCCAAGAATGAACATTTGTACCCTCTAGAGTGCTTTTGGGGTGCTCTGTGCCTACAGGAACTATAGCAAAGAAGTTGAAACAGTTCTTGTTTCCCAGCAGGATCTCATTCTTGTCATCAGCTTTCCTAATGGGGGTTTGAAGGCTGCCAGCAGCACACATTCGTGTTTGAAGGCAGCCTGGCTCTTAGACACACCAACAGAACATAAAGCAAGCTGTAGCTTCATTCACTCGATAACCTAACATACAGATCCTCACACTCATCTCCCATGATGTTCAGGACGCGTCTCCCACACCAGAGGACTTCCTCCTGATAGTGCTATGCCCTGGGCACAGTGGCCTCCTTCCGTTTGCTCTATGCAGTTAGTGTTGCATCATTTGCTTCAGTGCCGTGTAACTGGGATATTTGGCAAGTACGAGCTGTCAGCTCCATGCCAGAAACGGGTGCTGTTGGCACCACGTTTCATTTCTTTTGCAGCCAGCTCCCCTTTCTTGACCCAATAGAACGAGGTGCTACTTTCTGCAGAGTAGAAAGGAATTTGGGGGCCAGGGGGGCAGGTGGCAGGGCACACACAGATGAAGAGAAATCTGAAGGATGAGGACTACCCATGAAGAGGAATGCTACTTTCCCTGTGGGCTCTGAAGAACAAAAAATTCAAGAAAAAGAATCTCTCACAGCTGATCTTCTCACACAAAGTCATGCTGGTGTTCCAGAGAATACAAAAATGAGTACAGACAGGCTCACTTTGATACTGCTGCTGGAATTGAAAGTTATTTTTGCTATAAATTGTTGTAGTCAGCACTATTTGTCATGATGTTCTCTGGGCTTATAGGCTAAATTGCCCCATACTAACAGGCACTTTCTGCCTTAAGCAATACATTCCAGTACCATATTTGGAGCCCACATATCCATCAAGAGCAAGAGCACAGTAAAAGAGGTAGAGGTAAATCCCAGCTTCAGAGACTTCATGAACTATAGGGAATAATTGGAACGTACTGCATGCAACTAGAAATGCCATTTAGTCAGTATCTGGAAATACCAAAAGGAAATACCAAGGGTTGAGAAAGTTAAGATAATTGTAACAATTATAAAAAGTTTTTTTAAAAAAAAAAAAAGGACAAGGTAAGGGCTGAAAATAGAATTTACAAATAAAGGAAACTAACAAAAAGGGATACAACTTTTGGCTGGTCACCAGAGGGAGACAATGCAGGAGATCTCTTTCTCCACAGATAGCTATGTTAGGATAAGGTGAGGAGGTATGACCTGCTGATTGACAGTTCAGACAGCATGACATCTTGCCAAGGATTGAGATACACCTCCAAGTGGAAGGAATTCTTACCTCTTCTGCATAGGCTTTTCCAATCCCATCAGTAGCTCCTGTGATCACTGGAAAAAAAAAAAAAAAAGACAAATATACACTAGTTGCCTCACAGAAATAACTGCAATGGGTGTTCATTAGTAGGCTATTGAAGTACTCATTCCAGCCAAGAGACACATCAAAGTCTCTGGAATAGGTGTACAACTTTTATTAAATCTCTTAGAGAACTTGCACTAAAACCTTTCCATGTATAAGAAAGAAGAGGAAGAGATGGAGTTAGAAGCCCAACAGTTGTTTCAAGAGTCCGGTTCAGCACCCCTCCTCACGCCAGCCCTCTGGCCCACTACATTTCTTCAGCAGCTTTGCAGACTAAGAGAGATTTCCAAGTCATTTAACTGAAAAAAAAAAAACCCAACCAACCCACAACTCAGTTATGGCTATTATTAGACCAGCTCTCCAATTAGTTTTAAGTATACAGTAAAATAAAAAGTATATCAAAACCTTGTGAGTAGCCAATAAAACAAACATTTTAGGACAAAGGTAACAGGTCTCTGTCAGTGACTCCAGCAGATTTCAGTTCCCTGTGACCACTGTGCCCGCTAGCAGCAAAACATGAGCGACCAGGGCAGCCATCAGTTGCAAGGTGGGCTTCTAGTGCTTAAACTTTGTCACTTGTGGGTGACTGGGATCTGTGTCAAGCCTTAAATCTTTCTAGGATTCTTTTCCACATGCTGAGGAGCTCTGAGTGACTCAACATGCCATTAGTTTGACAGATTATTCCAGGGCTCCCACCACACCAGTAGCTGATCATCTCAGTTTGCTCACTAAATACCAATTCCTCCATGCAGAATCTGCTTTTCCAACTACTTTCTAAGCAAGCACATTCAGCACCCCTTCCTTTTCCTCTCAGCTCTTCCTTCTCAAACCCAGTGCCCTACACCTCAACATCCTTATCCATTTAGCTCTCCACTCATTCATCTCTGTCTGCTCCCACTCTCCAAGAGGTTACAGAATATACTGGAATTTTCTGCTTGTCCTCCTGTCAGTTCAGAACAGCTTGGTTTGTGCTTCCACTGTTTATCTCTGAATGTAGGCATGCTCAAATAACTAGGCTTGTTCAATGTTTCAGAAAACTGAACTAAGAGTGTTGGTTCAACTCTCAGGTCAACCACTACCCGAGTGAAACTCACAGCAGACAGAGGTGTTGTCCAGCACTGGGACTCAGCAACAACTTCCCTTCAGGGCACCAGAAGGAGACGTGTTTGCAGATGATTTGATTAGTCACTGCTTGCAGATCACCCATAACAGTTGTCATGCAAACAGCAGCCAGAATATTTCTGTTTGAGTAATAACAGCTAGGAAATGCTGTAACCATTTCAGTTTCTGTGCCTGCTAGCTATAAATAAGTGGACGTAATAACAAGTGATGAAGCTGCCAGTGAAGGTCCTATTTGAACTTGAATGGCCAGCCAACAGTGCAGTAACGCTAAGAAAAAAGATCCAGTCATGCTCCTGACTCAAGCTGGATTTACAGATGACCACAGATGAAGGCACCCACACACAGATTCATCCCTTCCTTGGTTTCAAAGTTTATTTGCAAGATGCCATAGCTCCAGCCTGATAAGGTATGCAGGACTACACTCTTAGCATCTAACACATGCTGCACACACTGGATGCTCCAGCTAGTAAACGGAGTTCTACCTGCTGCACTGTCAGACCCAGTGAATTTTACTGGGAAAACCAAGTGTCTGCATCAGACTCTTTTGCCACCTCCTACCCAGACACGATTAGGGAAGTGTGTCTAACAGTTTTGTTACAGAAACAAATCCACACATAGAAAGGTCGAGCAGGGGTCCAAATGATCAATAAAGGCAGACCTTGGGGAAGAAATCAAGAATACATTCCCAGGAGTCCACTTGCTTGCAACCAAACTTGTACCAATGTTGTTACCCATTTAGCCAGACAGCATTACAGTCCTGCAGGATGACACCATCCCTTTAGATCAAGGGCTAACAAGCTTCAGTTTCAACCTTGTTGATCATGCTATGCAGCGTTATCACACAATTCATTATTGCTTCAGCAAAACAATGAAGAGCACAGCAAAAACCTGTGCTGGTACCACTCTTACAACAGTAGTTGGACATGTTCTAAGTTGACCCAATCTGGAAAACATTCAACTTCAGTGACTTGGTGAAAGGGGTTGTTTCCTTCATTACAGTTAGTGAATGGCTGTTCTTTAGGTACCTCACTACAACACTTATAGATCATTTCTCCTCCTTCAAACTCAAAAGTCATGGACTTAATGGTTTTATGCCCAGATAACAAGCTCAGCATTTTAAAATACTGTTTTCTGATGCTGCGAGTTGTTCAGCTTTTAGCATCTACAGCTGAGAGTGCATGTTCCATAAAGCAGGGACTCCAAAAAGTGTCTGTAGCACTTTAAAGGCTTAGTCAAGTGCAAGTACAATTTCAGTCAAGGATATTTACCTCACTTATTGAATCCATTGCTTAGGTAAATTGCAATAGAATCAGCTGGAGCATGAGACTTAAGAAGCTGAAGATCAGAGATTTCTAACTGAACTATGAGTAACGGACAGTTCCTCCCTTTTTTTAGGCCCTATTTCAAATTAACCTCTGGATTACAGATTATTTTAAAGTACCCTCCAGAACAGAACTTGAGAAATTTAAACAACTTTTGATATAGGTAAGTGATGAAAAACATTACAAAATCCCACCAGGAAAAAAAAGTGCTTGAGCCATCACCTACAAAACCAGGCACCTAGCTGATATACATTATTGTTTTGCTTCTGCTGCAGGTAAAGGTATAGGCATAATAATAAAGCATGCAGCTAGTTTTTCTTAGCAATAAGGGAAGTTTCTCTTCTCACAAGAAGGTACTAATACCATCATTTTACTAGTGGCTCCACTCTGAGAAGGATAACTTTGTCTCTTTTCCATGCTCCTACACTAACTTGAAGAACAAACACAATATAAGGACTGTTTTCCAATGTATAACTTAAATCCCACCTTTTTTCAGGTCACACTTCTCTTCCTAAGATCCTTCAGGGGAAGCCACCTGGTTCAGTACTCACCAATTCTAAACAAACAGATTTCCCATCAACGGCTGCATTGGTGCAGAGGCCATCGAGGTCAGCACCGGAGGACTGCAATGGGAAACATGCACTAATACAGACCTGTCCTGCTGCTGACCAGTAGCACCCAGTTCATCCCATCTATGGGATCCTAGTGAGCAGTTTGATGGGTCAGAAATGCTGCCCAGACAGATACCTGCCAGAGCAGAGAGCAATACTTAAACCCTATGTTGTCAAAGCAAGGAAAAGAGGTGGAGTAAAGGCAACTGACTGGACAAATGTCACAAAAGACAAGATTCACCCACCCTATCTTCCTCAGTGTTTTGAATCACCTAAAGCGTATATGCTACAGGGAAGGGGAGAGTGATAGAAAAGAGGCTTTGGTAAGACCTGTGCATTAGCAAGGCACTTACAATTTTTGTACTGATTACATTCATCTCTAGCTTCCACTCTGGAGCCAAGTGTTGCAGTTTTAACCACCCCAAAGCTGTGCCAGTTTAACTAAATTTTTACTATCAATTTGATGTGCTGAAGCTAGTTTAACTTCAAGTGTGGATCAAGCTTTTAAATTCTGTTTCTTCTACAGACTGCCTTCCAGCAAAAGTTACAAACTGCCTGCAGTTGGCAGAGCTTAAAGAAGGCAAAGCAAGTAGGGTAGGAATAAGTTATTGTCTCTACAAGAAAGCTGCACCAGCTCGTAAGTGTGATTATACACATTTACTCAGTAGTCAGACTAACTGTAGTAGCTTCCCACTTCAGCCATCTGCCGTCTCCAGAAGAGAAGCGAGAAGAGTGCCCAGGCAGCTCGTGTATGAGCCCACCCAATAAAAGTTTGCCTGAATGGAAGCTTACATTGAAGAACTGGCTGATTTCAGGCACAGAACATCAACATCTATCTTTCCCTGACTTTTGGGGCTGTAGAGGAAAGGGCAAGAAAAATAAAGAAAGGTATCCAGTAACATGATGTACTCTGAAAACAGCTCGCTCTTAATAAATCAATACATGCACTTGCATTGGGCTGGAGATATTCTACCCCAGGAAGCTAACACTAGCCAGAGTTCAGCAGTTCTGTACACAAGATATTTCACAACACCATAAGGCACATGCAGAACGGATTCTCATCTTAAGTCACGCTTTTTTGAACTAGCACATATATATATATATATATATATAAATATATATAAATCAGTACAGAGCTGACACGTGCAAGACTACAGTTCAGAAAAACCTGCCCAAAGACTCCTGTCCTGAGTTGGAGAGTCCACACAGCCTGTCTCTTGTGAATTCAGCACACTGATAGGAACATCTTTTGCTCTTCCATGTAATGACACTTTCTTGACTAGGCAAAACTGGCATAATGATTGTTGAAATGGGTTACAGATGTGTGCAAGGGTTTTATCCTCTTGTCCCAGCTTCCAATTCAGTTGTGCATGAACAGACTTGTATTCCAACTAGACCTATACTGTTCAAAATGGTAGACAAGAAGTGGGAAAGCTGGTAAGAGACTTAAAATTACCATCTATGCCAGCCACTCGTGTACACCACAGAAGTGACTTTGAACCCACCAACGCTTTCGATGCAGCCTTACTAAAGCATAAGTGTGCAAAGAGAAACTTCCAATGTAGCATCAAGGTCTCTGAACAAAGAACACAGCATGGGGTATCATCTGCTCACACCGCTGGAGGATGTTGTGCCATATGTAGGCTGTAGATCTTTTAACTGCCATAGCATATATAGAAGTTGTCTGCACAGTAACTCAGATCAGCAGTTAAAATTTTAATTACAGGCCTATCCTTAACACATCATGCAACCATTTCCATAAATCCACCAAAATCTCCATCTTGACAGCATAGTGTCTTTGCTCTAAAGATTGTGCTAGAATGTTTCTTCCTATGTGGTGTGGGGAGGAAAGAAAAAACCAAAACCAAACCCTAACCTTTTCAACTCCAGCTTTGAGCTCACTCATATATCACTGAC